AGATTGCATACCTTTGTTTTCTCGAACTAGAACTGCACTTACCGCAACTTCGGATACGGCTGGTAGACCAAGAGGCACTCGCCTGGATCTGCTTTGGCGAGTAAGGGTGGCGAAGACAAGTATGCTTTTAGTTTCCTTAGGGCGTCGATACATTTTGAATTCCACTGAAGTCCATTGTATTTCCTTAATACATTAAAAACTTAAGGCATCTATCCGATGACCGTGAGATGAACCTCGACAAGGCGGCTATCCGTCCCGTCAATTTTTGTACTTGCTTTTTGCTGGTCAGTGTTTTGGGTATTCCTTCGATGGCCTTAATCTGTTTTGGGTTGACCTCTATGCCTTTTTGTGATACCAGGAAACCGAGGAACTTTCCCGAGCTTACGTCGAAGGCGCATTTTTTGGGGTTCGGTTTCATGCCGTACCATATTAATATGTCGAAGGCTTCCTTCAAATGATCAATATGATCTTCTTTCCTTTTCGACTTAACCAGTATGTCGTCGATGTAGACTTCTATTGTTTTACCGAGTTGGTTTTTGAGCATTTTGGTGACCAATCTCTGATATGTCATCCCTGCATTCTTTAGTCCGAACGGCATAACCTTGTAGCAGTATGTCCCTTTGTGAGTGATGAAAGTGGTTTTCTCCTGGTCTTCTTCTTCCATGAGGATCTGGTTGTAACCCGAGTAGGCATCCAAGAAGCTTAGCGACTCGTGTCCTGTTGTTGCATCGATGAGCTGGTCGATGTGTGGCAATGGAAAAGAATCTTTTGGACATGCCTTGTTTAGGTCCGTGAAATCTACACACATCCGCCAGTTTCCATTTTTCTTTTTCACCATGACCACATTGGTGACCTATTGAGGGTATTTTGACTCTCGGACGGAGCCATTTGCGAGCAGCTTATCGACTTCTTCGCTGATGGCTTCGTTGATCGCGGCGTTGAACTTCCTTCTTATTTGCCGCACCGGTGGGTAAATAGGGTCGACATTTAACTTGTGTGTGGTGATATCCTTTGGGATACCTAGAATATCTACATGGGAGAAGGCAAATAGATCGCCATGGTCAGTCAAGAACTTATGAAACTTACCTGATTCCGAGAGGTTGTACCTGATATAAGCCTTTTTATGTTGTCGTTTCCATCTAGCAGGACAGGATCCAGATTTTCTATCATTGATTCGGATGCTTCCCCAATGTCGGGGTCCTTGATAACGTCTATCCGTACGTCAAGTTTTGCTCCCGACATCGCTGATTGCTATGCTTCCGCATTTGCTCCTTTGAGTTGTTGGGTGTGTGCGCAAACTTGGGCGATGCGATAACATTCTTGTGCGGTGCGGTGCTCTCCTCGAATGCTGAATATTCCCCATGGGGTAGAAAACTTGATCACTTGATAGAGACTGGAAGGGACCGCTCGCATGGCGTGTATCCACGGGTGCCCTATGATGGCATTGTAAGTTGTCTCCTGGTTCATGACGTGAAATGTCATTTCCAGGGTGACTCCTCCGGCTAGGATGGGTAGCACTATCTCTCCAGAAGTCCTTTCAACTACATTATTAAAACCTGCTAGCATTATGCAGCGCGGTATTATTTTGCCTTCAAGTCTCATCTACACGAGGACTCGAGGATGGATAATACACGCGCCGCTCCCGTCATCTACCATTATTCTTTTTACATCAGTATCTACAATACTTAAAGTGATAATAAGAGCATCATAGTGAGGGAAAGACAAACCGTCAGCATCTGACTTATCAATGATGATACTGTCTTCGAGGTTATCATATCATTCATGGGTGATTGATCGTTTGAGTTTATGTGTGGTGGTGAACTTGACATGATTGATTGTTGTGCCATCACCCCCGCCAATGATCATCTGTATAGTGCGAGCGGGAGAAGGCGGTTTTGGAGGTCCCTAGGGTTGTTCACGTCTGCGAGCGAAGTTAGCTCGTCCTCTATCGCTCAGCAACTCTTTCAGGTGCCCCTGGCTTAGCATTCGTACTACTTCCTGTCGTAGTCCTATGTATCTTCGGTTTTGTGACCCCTTTCTTGGTGAAATTCACAGAAAGCACTCGACTTCCGAGTGCTGGGGTCTAGCCTCATCTTTTGCGGCCATTGCACCTTTGGACCGAGTTCTCTAGGGCGTACACTATTTCTGAAGGAGAAACACAAAAATTATGAGCGGATAGGAGTGTAGGCATACCTTTCTCGTGTCGATATGATGCTGTATGTCGAGGAGGAGCATCCATGTGCTGCGGTGGAGGCGGGGCAGACGTCCTGATGTAGGGCTGATGCCTTTTCCGACCAAGGCAGGGCCCCAACTGATCTATTCGACCATCGTTACGACGATCTTTCCTTGCTTCAGTTTGAAGTAACGTCAGTCGTTGGGTCAGACCGTTGAGGTCGTCCTTGTCGGCTCGTACCTCGGCGTAGTAGGCGTTATGGATTTCTTCCCAAGTAGTTGGAGGGTATTTTATGAGCCTGCTTAGCGATTTTCTGGTCGCTCTCGACCCGTTTCTATTTAATCCATTCTGGAAGGCTGCTACTGCCATTCCTTCTGACACATTCAGCAAGCTCATTCTCACCCTGTTGAACCGAGCTACGAAGTCCCTGAGTCTCGCCGTGCATCTGTCTTACGACAAATATATCATTTACCCTAGCTTCTGCCTTTTTGGCTTCTGCATGGGCAGTGACGAATTTGTCTGCCATTTCCTCAAACGTTGCTATCGAGCATATCGGTAGTTGAGAGTACCATGTCAAGGCTCTCCCTGTTAGGGTTTCGCCAAACTTTTTCAATAGCACTGATGGTACCTGCTCTTTTGAAAAACCGTTACCTTTTACAGCTGTAACGTAGTGGATGATATGGTCTTCTGGATCGGTAGTACCATCATATATCTTTAAGTATGGCGGCATTTTGAAGGTCTTTGGAATGGCGTAGGGGGCCGCTTCTTCACTGTATGGTTGCTCGATGAATCGACCAACGTCGCGTTTTGGCAGCAACTTTGGAGCGCCTGGTATTTTGTCAACCCTCTCTTGGTGTTCCTTCATTTGGTCACAGAGTGCCTTATTCTAATTTTTCATTTCCTCCATTTTCTTTAAAACGGCTGCAAGTGTATCCTGCATCATTAGCAATATAAGTGTTACCTGTACGGAGGGCGTCTTGCTCATCAGCGTTTATCGTGACATCTGCATGTGCAACATTCCTGTTATCCTTTTGGGCGAGTTTATCAAGTATGGTGTTCAGAGTACTTGTTAGCCATTCTTCCAACAGTCTTCTTACTGCCGGTGGTGCCTCTCCTGTTGCAGATGCACAGGCTTCCCTCTCGCATGAAGCAGTCACGCTTTCGTGCGGGGGAGGTGAAGCGTCTCCCCCGGGTGTGGTGTTTGTTGTTTCATTTTCGTTATCCTCTCTGCTATCTTCGTTGATCGTGTCTAGGAGGTTGGTTGTGACGCCTACTATTGCTTTTTGCCTTGCATCTCCTTTCCCTGCCATTGTTGGTTTGTACCAAGGTGATTATCCATTTCAGGAGTCTAGGCGAAACTAAAATCTTAGCTAAAGAAATTCTCACAGATGGTGCCAAATTGTTTGACCCAAAAGATATTGAAACCTTTTTGATTAAATCAATTAAAGAAGATGAAGAGGTAAATCTCAGCCAAGTATAGTAAACTCTAGATTGAATCTGCAAGGGATGGACAAAATGAATAATGTTTCTTGATATCATGAAACCGAATGATTAAGCGTCAATATGACAACTTTTAATGTAGAAAGATATTATAATGGATGCTCTTAGCCAAAAGTCAGTAAGATATCTCGATCCCCCTTTTACAAAGTCTTTCCCTCCTATTTATAGGGGACAACCCCTTCATGAACCCTAAAAGATATAACATAGAGAATATTCGAAAGTATATTCCTACTGCCTCCTATTGTACCTACACTACTGCAAATGTCGTGCGTCTTCTAACCGCTGTCAGTCGTCGCCGTCTTCAATGACCACAGAACGCTGTGTCGTAAGGATCTCGTCCCTTGTCGTATTCGTCAGTAGCCGTGGTCATCCAAATTTGGACCTATACACAAGGGTTTCTTATTTTGGATAAACATGATTGCTGTAAAGATTTGAAGATTGTGTCATTCAAGCGTCGCAGCTCAGAATTCCTTTTCTCTTTTTCCTTCTGTTGTAGGTGCTCCAGCCACAAACTCGTGATTCAAGTGGCTGGGAGGATGGCTGCGTTTTGCCTGCGACTGTTGATGTAAAATATTGGAGTAGCAGTTCCATAAATCTTTTCCATCTACCTAAGTTTTGATAAGCAGAGTTATCCAAAACTTATGGTCATGGAAGATATAAAAATTAATTCAAAATCTTGATATGTTATGCCAAAGGTTACTCCCCTTTCCTAATTCTCTGTCAAAATATATGACCTTTTTTTAATGTTTCGAAAAGTCAATTCTGGGCTAAAATTCAGAAAGTTCGATAGCCCTCAAAAAGAAATTATGTTCCCTAAGTTATCCTTGTAATTGTTTTCTTTCATAACAGTTTGAAGTTTGGTGGAAAATATGCCTCGCTATCTCCGGTTAAATATCAATTCAGGATTCGAACTCTGGGATGTGCACACGCTCTTACCAGTGAGCCAAAGTGGTGGGCCCTTCCTGATTACTCATCTAGTCATCTTCCACCTAATTTTCAACTAGTACATAAGAGCATCACTGCTTATAACGCTACCAATTCATAAGGCGATAAAGCAAACAGATGTGTCGCTGAACCAGGTTGAACCCCTTAGCTAAACTATTTGACATTAAAAAGAAACAGGGGAATTGACAAACTAGTGTATCTAATTTGTGTAAATGTTATGATTAACAAAAAATTGTAAATGTTGACATCAATTGTTTACGTTTTCTCCAACAGAAATTTACAGATTTAAAATTAAATAAAAGTACCAAGACAATCTTATTATAGTTCAGAATAATTTAAAATTCAATTTTGATGTAGAACTAAAAAGCAATCAATTCCAGAATGAACTTAACAAGTCTACTAATGAAAATTGCATTAAACAGAAATACATGATCACTATCACTTTATTGAAAGCAACTGAAAAAAAAACACTATATATAAACTATAAACACAGGATTTTCATACGCATACAAGATTTATTCTAACCAAAAACAGTAAAATCAAACAATTACATACTAATTAATCAACAAAGAGCAGATAAATCATAAAAACGATTTACACAAATCGATATAACCATTAACTCCGGCAACGAGTAATAGCACTGCAGCCACGGGTATAAGGATTAGCTTCAGCACCTGTTTGGCAGTTATAATAGGAAGCACCTCTTCTAGAACAGGGTACAGTGTTTCTCTGCAGAGCACCATAGCTTATGTAATCATCAGTTGCTAAAATGCGCCGGTTGCTCTCTGAATCCATTTCGAATTCACCGGCGGCCATGCACTCTGCTATCGTACCGTCACAGCTATCTGTGGCTTTCATCGGAATCCATCCACTCATGTCGAAGTCGCCGGAAGCTTCGCCGGAGATAATCAATAGCGCAATTAATAGTGAAGAGATGATGAAAGTGGAGCTAAACGGCTTCGCCATTGCTAACAATTTTGTCAATGGTAATTGGTATATTTCTCCTCCTAGTTATATATATAGAGAAATAATATCAAGTTGCTTTCTCTTTCTTGTAAGTTCTAACTACTACTACCATACCACTATTTTAGTTCGACGACTCGCAATAGCGCGGGATACAATGGATTTTAAGTATATTTGGCTTTTTTCGTGAAATGGTGTTCATGTTGCCGGTATTTACCAAATTACCATTGCCACAAAATAATGTAACCCAAGTTTAACTATTGAATGTTTTCTAAATATTTTAGATATTAAAAGTAAAATTTTATTACGTACTAGTAATTTTGTATGTAGTTTCTGCACCTGTATTTATTAGAAAGATTAACAATTTACGTCGTCTAACTTTACACAACAGTTAAATGATTGGTCATTTATTCTAAAGCTCGTTATTCTTTTTGGAACCTAAAAAGTATTTATACTTAGTTATTGTCGGGCAGGAATGGATAAAACATAGAGAGAGATTCTTTATTTGTCCTTTTTCATTTAAATTTTTTTATGGGGTGGGAAAAGCTTGTAATAAAGGGAGGTAAAGAAAGGAGAAAAATGACTATCGACGAGATTTGAACTCACATTTAAGTTTTGTATTTGTAATATATATGCTTTGATATGGAATGACTAATACACTGGGAAAGAAAAGAGAGCACGGTAATATATAGGGGAAGGGTTTAAGTGTGAACTTGAGAGTTGAGATCTTATGCTTTGCTTCTGAAAGTTGTTTTGGTTCGAGGTTTGTACAATAATAATTTAAAAAGAAAGTTCACTAGGTCAGGAGGAGAAAATAAAGAAATTGTTTGTGAAATAGTTAATAATTCTGATCTAAAGGCTTCACCCTCAAACTTCTAATCTCAATATTCTCGAAAACATTTTCACCATCTGAATCCACATGGACCACTTGTATCAATAATGTGTTGCTAATTACAAAAAGAAATACTAGTAAACTAAGGGTACTTGAAGTTCTTTTGGGTTAGAATTTGAAAAAATAAATAATAATAATAATAATAATAATAATAATAATAATAATAATAATAATAATAATAATAATAATAATAATAAAATGATATTTCGGGGAAAGCAGAGTTTATTAGAAGTAATATGGTGTTGATCTAGCACAAGTTCAGTTCAGTTGTCCTAATCTTAGAACCAATAATAATAATAATAATAATAATAATAATACTAATAATAATAATATTTGAAGTAAGCCAAATCAAGGATTGTGGTTGGAGAAAAATAATTTTAATTGAACACCAAAGTGTGTGGATAACGGTCAATGAAGTGAATTTAGAACCATGAGATTTTATATCTAAATCCCATAGGGACAAAAATACTATATGTGATTTCTCTCATCTATCCACGCCTTGAGGATAGAGTTACCCAATATTTTTGCTGGTGAAAGTAATAGGTGCCCTGGAATTAGTTAAAATACTGGCAAACTAATCCGGACACTACGGTTATAAAAAATAATTTCAATTGACATAAGATGATAATGAGATATTGGTACATTCAAAGAACCTTCTTTCTTAATGGATTTCCTTTTTACCAGTTCAACCGCGTCCTCATTGCTGTTGGAAAGTTTAGTCATCCTCAAACAGATGAACCTTTCAAAACCTAACAAAGAAAATGATGTCAATCTTTCTATATTATTATATGATAAGCAACTCCTGTCTTCTTCTCATCTAATTTTCTTCTTCAGACCTGTTTGGTTTAATTCAAGTCAGTATTTTGGTTCCAACTCTTTGTCTCTAATATTTTAATTTTTACTCCTAACTTATATATACCACAACTATTAACGGAGTCAAACAATTTATTCCTGACTACTTTTAAAAATATTATTGTGATTAATAGACTAGTCTTTTTATAGATTTTAAATATGTAAAATATTATTTCAAGCAATTAAATCATCACATATATATAAGTCATTTATCCTTAAGGTTTTAAGTATGTTGTGTTTTAATTTACAAGTAACAGTTAAATATTCATAGTCCATAAGAAACTGCTGAAATTATGAGTATTCTAGTTTTAAATAAATGCATTTAAGTAGAGTGACCTTGCAGGCAAAGGAGGGATGCAAATTGTCGGAGGAATAGAATACTGCAATAAAATGGGCAATCATCTTGGACGTTGGTCCCTTCACCTTATAGTTTATGTAGAAGTCTTCCCGGCAGAGTTATTTTTTTTTTTTTGTTGAAGTAGGTTTAAAATATTGAATACGGTTAAAATCAGGCCTATCCGATTGTACTATTTGATCGGGACCAGAGGATTCTGGCCATCATGAAGATGCTCGAGGAACTCACTAAATGGGTCGAATCAGGAGAAAAAAATTGAGGCTAATGATAGAAAGGTAGAAACATACAACTTACGGATTGATCAAATACCAGGGACACCCCTGATTCTAAAGGGTTTAGATTCGAAGGAGTTCGTATAGAAGCCTTTCCCACCAAGTGCGGCTCCAAAGACCATTCCAAAGAAATTTTGCATGCTAGTACAATGGCACCACTAGTCCTAATGAGCATGTCACTTCTTATACATGCGCAATAAAAGGAAATGACTTAGAAGATGATGAAATTAAACCTGTTCTGCTGAAAAAGTTTGGAGAGACTTATCGAAGGGGGCAATGATATGGTACCACAATTTACCGCCCAATTCCATCGATTCCTTCGCCATGCTTGCTGATTCGTACGTAAAGGCACACGCAGGAGCTATAAAGACCGCGACTAGGAAGTCAGACCTCTTCAAAGTGAAACAAAAGGACAATGAAATACTAAGGGAATTCGTATATCGATTTTAGATGGAACGCATGGACCTACCCTCGGTTACCGATGATTGGGTTGTCCAAGCCTTCACTCAAGGTTTGAACGAGCGAAGTTCGATAGTATCACGACAACTTAAACAGAATTTGATTGAATATCTAGCCGTGACCTGGACCGATGTACATAATCGATCCCAGTCAAAGATCTAAGTCGAGGATGATCAGTTAGGAGCTCCTTCCGATTCTGTTTACCCAAATAGATTCGAAGGCAGGATTCAAAAAGACAACGACAGAGAGCCCCGATCAAATAGAAATCGGCACCAGCCATACAACACAGATCGTAGAAACAACGGGCCGGGACATTATCCCGTTCAAAATGATCAAAGGAATGATCGAGGTCAAACTCCCGAAGGTTCATGAGTAAGAGTGGCTTAGATAAACATGTAGAGCCTAAACAAGCGCCATGGTTATTAGAATACAACTTCAGCGTCGACACATCAGGTATTGTATTAGCCATTGGATGAATCAAGGATACTAGGTGGCCTAGACCCCTACAAACCGATACAGCTCAAAGGAACCCTAATCAAATGTGAAAATACCATGGAACCCATGGTCACATAACCGAAGATTGCAGACAGTTAAGGGAGGAGGTAGCCCGTTTGTTCAACGACGATCATCTCCGAGAGTTCTTGAGTGACCGAGCTAAAAATTACTTCAGAGACAGGGATGCAAATAGGAAAAACAAACAGGAAGAACCGCAACACGTGATTCATATGATCATTGGTGGGGTCAATATTCCTCAAAGCCCGATATTTAAATGCACCAAAGTGACAATCACAAGGGAGAAGCGTACCTAGGACTACTTACCAGAGGATACCTTATCTTTCAACGATGAGGATGCAGAAGGGATCGAATAGCCTCACAACGATGCTCTAGCAATATCTATTATTATGAATAAAATTCAAGTTAAACGTGTGTTGGTTGATCAAGGTAGCTCGACAAACATTATTCATTCGAGGGTCGTAGAGCAACTCGGTCTCCAGGATCAAATCGTGCCTGCAGCTCGAGTGCTCAACGGTTTCAACATGGCAAGTGAAACCACTAAAGGGGAAATCATGTTGCCAGTAAACGTGGGGGGAACTATCTAGGAAACAAAGTTCCATATAATCGAAGGTGATATGAGATACAACGCACTGCTCGGAAGGCCTTGGATTCATAACATAAGGGCAGTACCTTCGACGTTCTATCAAGTATTGAAATTCCCAATATCGAAAGGAATCAAATGGTGTACAGCGAACAACCCGCCACCAAAGAGATGTTTGCAATCGATGAAGTAGTACTAGTATCGTTGCTTTCGTCAACGAAGGGATCGGAGTCAAAGGGAGAACAAGAAGTCAAATAACAACCACAGGCAGTGGCCTCGGCACAATCGGAAGAGAAAGAACTCTTCGAGGATGAAGATTATATGATACCTCAAACCTTTATAACCCCCGATGATTCTGATACAACGAAGTTAACGGTCGAGGAGCTTGAACAACTTATACAGATCGAACACCTTCCCGATCGAAAAGTATACCTGGGCACGAGGTTAACTCTCGAGCTCAGGAAAAAACTCGTTCAATTCCTTTTAAATAACATGGATTATTTTGCTTGGTCATATATAGATATGACAAGGATCCCACCAGAAATAACAACACATCGACTGAGCCTGGACCCAAAGTTCAGACCGGTAAAACAAAAGAGAAGGCCCCAGTCCGAGGTAAAACATGCATTTATCAAGGACGAGGTAACTAAACTTCTCAAAATAGGATCCATCCGGAAGTAAAATATCCCGAATAGTTAGCAAACGTAGTTGTAGTCCCCAAGAAGGGGAACAAACTTAGAATGTGCGTAAATTATAAATATTTAAACAAATCATATCCCAAAGACTTTTTTCCTCTACCGAACATCGATCGCATGATCGATGCCATAGCCGACCACGAGATCCTTAGCTTTCTCAACGCCTATTCCGGGTACAATCAAATTAAAATGAACCTGGAGGATCAGGAAAAGACTTCCTTCATCACTAAGTATGGCACCTACTATTATAATGTAATGCCATTTGGGCTAAAAAATGTTGGTGCTTCTTACCAGCGCCTAGTGAATCGAATGTTTGAAGAATAAATAGGTAAATCAATAAAAGTATATATTGATGACATGCTTGTTAAATCCATGCACGCAGAGGACCATTTGACATATTTGCAGGAAACTTTCAACATATTGAGAAAATATAACATGAAGCTCAATCCAGAGAAATGTGCATTCGGGGTCGGTTCGGGCAAGTTCCTCGGCTTTATGGTGTCAAATCAGGGAATGGAGATCAACCCCGATAAAATAAAGGCGATCGAAGACATTGCATTCGTGGACAACGTTAAGGCCATACAGAGATTAACAGGGTGGATAGCCGCCTTAGGCCGGTTCATCTCGAGGTCTTCAGATCGAAGTCACAAGTTCTTCTCACTGCTCAAAAAGAAGAACAGTTTCGCTTGGACCCCGGAATGCCAATAGGCATTGGAAGAGTTAAAGCGGTATCTTTCGAGCCCACCATTGCTTCATACTCTGAAAGCGGACGAGCGGCTTTACTTAAGTGGTGTCCTAGTTCGAGAAGAGCAAGGTACGCAATTTCCTATTTACTATATTAGTCGAACTCTAGGTGAAGCCGAGACCCGGTACCCACACTTAAAAAAATTAGCACTTGCTCTAATAAGCGCCTCTTGGAAATTAAAACCATATTTTCAGTGCCACCCAATTAGTTTGGTGACTACTTACCCTCTTCGTAATGTTATGCACAGGCCCGAACTCTCGAGCCGATTGCCTAAATGGGCCATCGAAATTAGTGGGTATGATATCGAATATCAACCCCGAATGTCCATCAAGTCTCAAATTTTAGCAGACTTCGTGGCCGACTTTACGCCAGCCCTTGTACCCGAGGTCAAAAAGGAACTTTTGTTAAGAATGGGTACATCTTCGAGGGTGTGGACCCTTTTCACAGATGGTGCTTCAAATGTGAAAGGGTCCAGGTTAGGAATCATTTTGAAGCCGCCCACAGGCAATACAATTGGGCAATCTATCAAAACCCCTAAGTTGACGAACAATGAGGCCGAGTATGAGGCCATGATTGCAGGTCTCGAGCTGGCTAAATGCTTGGGAACAGAAGTCATCGAGGCCAAGTGTGACTCCCTACTTGTGGTTAACCAAGTCAATGGGACCTTCAAGGTTCAAGAAGATCGAATGCAAAGGTACTTAGACAAGCTGCAGTTAACCCTACACCGGTATAAAGAATGGACACTATAACATGTACCTCGAGAACAGAACAGTGAAGCTGATGCCCTTGCAAATTTGATATGATGGGATGCCCTCAGAGGCTTGATGATGTTATGAACATATGTACCTATGCACGACATGACATTCATACGCATATGTATGACACTATAAGTATTTCATGATTTACAGAGTTACCCAGACTTACAGGTTAAGTCATTTACTCTATATTTCTTCCATGTCTTTTATGTACATATTTATGTGCCTTACATACTTAGTACATTATTCGTACTGACATCCCTTTTGCCTGGGGATGCTGCATTTCATGCCTGCAGGTCCGGATAGACAAGTCGAGAGTCCTCCAAGTAGGCTATCAGCTCAGCGGAAGATATTGGTACGCTCTATTTGCTCCGGAGTAGCTTGTTTGGTCAGTATGATTTAGATGTGTATTGTTTGGTATGGTGGGGCCCTGTCTCGACCTTTATGTTAAGTGTGTACTCTTAGAGGCTTGTAGACAAATGTCATGTATACGAATGCTTGTATGGCCTTGCCGGCCTATGTTTTGAGTCTAGAAATGATTATGTTGTCCTTATAGGCTCGTATATCACAAGTATAAGTTTTTATATCAGGTTGGGTCGTCCTATATTGAGTATTCCTCTATATTTATTTTCGTTATCCCATGATGGCCCGTTTGGCCCATTTGCTAATGGAAATACAATAAGCAAGATATGTTATGTTGGTACTCGGTTAAGTAAGGTAATGGGTGCTCGTCGCGGCTCATCAGTTTGGGTCGTGAAGAAAGTGGTATTAGAGCAGTTCTGTACTAGGGAGTCTACAAGCCGTGTCTAGTAGAGTCTTCTTTATGGGTGTGTCATGCACCACACTTATAAGCAGAAAGCTACAGGGCATTTAGAATGTCACTCTTTCTTCTTACTCTAGATCGTGTGGTAGAGCTTGGTTGTAAGAACTCAATTTCCTAAATTCTATCTTATTCATAATACAATGATGCCTACATTCAAAAAGACGGTCGGTAAGAGATATAGCTGTGGAAGTGTTGAGTTAGAGGAACTCGATTTTGCATCATGCTTATGATGAGTAAATGTGAGGTCTTCAGCAGATCATGCGTGTACTAAAAGGTGTAAGGTTCTTGATAAGGAGCTTTAAGGAAAGAATACTTATCCACTCTTAGTCTCTTACGGTAAAAAGGAATCACATAATCAGAAGTTAGACACAAGTTTCAGCAAGTAAAAGAAGGAAGGTAAAGAAGGGTACGAGGTACCTAGTTAATAAAGATTATTATTATTTACCATTCAGGAAGGGAGATATAAGCATTTTGAGTTACCTTTAAAAGTAACAGATATAAATACAATTAGCCACACCTATCTTAGTCATGCCCTATGGGAGCTAATGGATATGCTTTAAGAGAAGGGCAAGATAGCAGGATTCGGCTGGGGTTAGAGTAACCCAAAATGATGGATAGATGGTTTGCGTTAGTTGACAATTCTGAGGGATATTGCAAATGTGCTAATAGATCTCCTTGTGAGACACCAAGATGGTGCGCTCTAAAATAGTACAACTAGATATGAGTGCTACAAAGATAGGCACTGGAAGCGTGGAAAGAATAAATATTATTTTAATATGGCTCCCGTCCCTAGTAGAGAGATAATGCTAGACAATCCGAAGAGCCAATGGATGGAGCAAAGGGGAGCTAAAAGCAAAAGATATCTTGTTGAAGTTTTCAGAATAAAGTGATAGACAAAAATGTTAGCAGGAAATAAGAAAAGAGCTAATGAAGCATTAAGAGTAAGATATGATACATGGATGACGACGGTAGGTCAAAAAGATGACAGTATTACAGAGTCTATAGTCAAGTAAAGGAAAAGACGAGAGGTGACAGGCCTTGAGACAACAAAAGAGTATAGGCCATAAAGTCATAGCCTCACTTCAAGAAATAAGTTCGTGACTCCAACGCAACTATCGGAAGGAAAAGTTAGACCCAGAATAATAGAAATCAGTATGGGCTGGTTAACAAGATAAACTAAATGTGAATTAGGGACTGAGTGATTGGATAACACTTGGCATCATGACTTCAGATTTCGTTCCGACGATAATATAATGGACAACAGAAGAAGATTCATGAGAAATTCAGAGAATGGTCATTCAGAAAGACGCTTCCTTAAAGCAAGTAATGTGAGCGAAGTTAAGCTTAAGGGACTATGTGTTCTAGTTACACTAAGTGCCACCCTCGCGAGTAAGGAATTTCATTATCCTTGGTACAGAAGGATTACCACAAGGCGATAACATGAGAAGGCGATAATGATGAAGAGGTAAAACATCTATAGGTAGATCGTCGTAGTGCTAAATATTAGTACTTCCCTAAATAGGAGAATATGGAGTGATATGACATTATGTCAGAATTAAGTGGTTCTAGTAACTATGGAATGATAAAGGAAGAATCCGATAAAAATGAGAAAGGGGTGAGATTGCACTTATTCAAATGTTACAGATATGCTATGATTCCAGAATATTATGCAAGCACGACGCTAAGGAAAGGGAGTAAGGGTTCCTGCCCGGGATGTTATTGATAAATAAGAAGCCAGCGCGAGAGGTAAGATAAGACAAAGAAAATAGCCCAAGAAAGATTACGCAGAATATTGATATGAGAATGGGCCAATGAGTAGTTAGTAGTTGATTCAGGAAGAGCCTAGTTATGGCTAGACAAGAGGTTGCAAACAAATCAACAGATCATATGAGATAAACATAGTGAACCCCAATGTGGGGAATTCGGTATCACGGATATGATATTGTAATACTTGAAAGATATTCAGATATGAGTTGGGGTAGTTAAAGGTACCGTATGAGTGTTACAAAAATAAAAGAGAGTCCCACTGGGAAGACAGTCAAAACTTCAGTTCAGAAGCAAATGTACGAGCATATGAGTGTGGAGGTAAGTAACTATGGATAATTAGAGGCGAGGAAGAATATCAAAAATTCCATCGGGTATACAATGTAATAAGCTAACAGCTTTACAAGAGTCAGAGGGTCCTCCCTAAGTACTACAATGAAAGACTAGCCGCGGAAATAAAGAAGAAGTCTTCAACCTAAACATAGTAACTCAAAGGAGAAATGGTCATGTAAAAGCAGTCTCACAACAAAAATTGTATGCACTCCAAAAGAAAGTGGCACCTACCGTGGCTAATGAACGGGAAGAAAAATCAGAAGTGATACTCAAGATCATATGAGTTGTATGGAATTCCAATATATGTGGGCACTAAGATAAGCTAAGTATAGATGCAACAGGGGCAAAAAGACCAGGAAAAGTAATAGCTTATGTTTAAAGAAAGCTAAGATAGAAAGAAAGGAATTATTCGATCAATGATCCAGAGTTGGTTACGTTATGAAAACACTTAAGGGTTCGGAGTATTATCCATGCAGTATATATGTTGACAACCATACAGCCGTAGAAGGTTTCGGTATAAGTTAAAAGGAAGAATTGAGCCCGAGTCATAAACAAAGGAATGTATTGCTAAAGGATTGTATCATGGATATTCCATAGTACCATGAAAGGCTAATAGTAATAACTAACACCATGAGCTGCAAATCGGAAGATAGCTTAAGCCTACATAAAGGTTAATTAGAGGAAAGAGGAAACTAAAGAGTTAGATCAACTAAGTAAATCAGGAGTTTGATTATTGAACCCAGAAAATTATGGACATAGTGATTGAGAACACTGCAGAGTCACTCTTAATATCAGAGGTCCAGTTAGAAGAATGCCAACCTCACAAAAAGTCAGTATAAAGCTCTCATCGAATAATGTAAAAAGGTGCAAGTATTATAATAGAAGTTCAAGTTGTGGATGTGAATTATATCTATGTGGAAGGAAGGTCATGAAAGAGATAGAAGATGTGATGCAAGATTTTTAAGGTAATATAAAGGTGAACAATGTACAAGATACTCAAATGCAGAAGGTTGTGAATTGTCGATACTTTGGACAAAAGTCTAGAAGCATTGGGATTTAGTATTCGGGAATGATAGTGGCAACTTCAGTGGCATATTTTCCAGCCTGTGGGTTTTAGGTATCGAGAGGTCTAGTTAAGAGAGTAAAGATGAGTTAGAGATGATGTGATGTCTCGCTTGATATTCCATAATAATATAAAGAAATCTATGGGGCAAGCAAGTTGAAGGAAGGTTGCAAGTAATATAAATAGATATGTGTAGGTCGCAAGCTAAAGTATGGTAAAGCGACAAGGCTTTAGGAAGACATGAGTAAGGATAAGAAAGGGCGAGTGAGAAGGTGACGAGAATGGATAAGTCCTCAGGATTAAGCTCATGAAAATAAGAAGAGCTGATAGTTTCTCTATGTTATACAAAGCTCAGTGTAGCCTGAATGGACTCAAAGGAGTCTAAGACAAATGGCATTTAAAAGAGATGGAATGTTGTCAGGGTAGTAGAATAAGGGTGTAATTGTGGTAGATAAAGGATGATATTTGGGCCTTCGAATGAGTTATGATTTGAAGAAAAAAGGGAGATTTCATGAGTTGTACGGGATTAGAATAACCCCCAAAGGATGAATCACGTTGGGATGATATGAAATACGGTTATGGAAGCATGGTATCGCCCCCAGGTGGATCAGTCTAATCATTTCAGATGTTCCCCGATGAGACCTCAGTCCTAGTGATTACGTAAGAAGTTTTAAGTTATCAGTAATCTATTGTAGATCAATATTGAGGTGAATCATAATGGATGGACAAAAGTCACAAAGTATAAGCTGAGATTAGGTCGTCATTCTTAAGATGAATATGAATGAGGAAGCATTAAAGGACTTAGATTTATACATATGGGATAAGCAACAAGAGTAAGCTAGAATTTGGTATCAGACCTCAGCAACGATAAACTGAAATAATAGTTATGGTATAATATGACCTACCTAGATGCAGTAAAATCATATGGATAGATAACCGGGTCTATAAAACAAGATGTAGCAATATTCGTAATTTCAACGAAGTACCAAGCAAAGAACTTTAGTATACCTA